CTTATTTCTCGGTTCCAGTCTCGCTTGCCTCCGGAGTTTGATTTGTCCCTTATTGATAATCGTCTGCACCAACTGTGGATGTCAGATCAGGCTACTAGCTACGTACGACAGAAGGACTCTTTGCAAAAGGAGTTGGAAGCTTTTTTGTCAGCTTTACCAGGTCAGCCGGGACTGTTAACAGCGACCCCAAACGACTTGACGCGATTTTTGGTATTTAAAGACAGCAAGGGAAAAACGCAAGTTCACAAAATTGGATGTTCCTTTCTTGGACACCGGGGTGTACACGAATGTGGGTGCCCTATGCGGTTGGCTTTCAAGACCGTTGATTCTTATATAGGAAAGCTACGTGCCATTTTTTCTGCCCTTGGCCGCGATGGTGAATGGGGCAAGAGATTGGGACTTGGGAATCCGGCAGCAGATAAGACGGTTCGGGATTATCTGCGGCTTGTGACAGCTGAACAGCTTCAATCTAGGATAACCCCAAAACAAGCCACTCCGTTCCTTATTGACAAGTTGGTCCGACTGGCTTTGCATTTGAATTCTTTAGCCGAGATCTCTACAATGTCTTCCTCACACCGTTTTCTGGTTGCGCGGGATCAGGCCTATTTTAAGGCCGTATTCTTTAGTGGGGATCGGCCAGGGGACATGGGACAGGTCAAGGTGCCTGAAATATTACGTTTTCCAAATGATGATGGTCTATTATTCAATCATGTTTGGGGCAAGACTCTAAGAGATGGGGATAATAATGTGTTTGGTATTCGACGAAATCCGAATCTTACCATCTGGCCAGTGGTGGCTATCGAGCACTATATGGCCGTGGCACAAAGGATGGGGATTGATTTGACAACAGGTTATTTATTTCGTCCTACGACACCTAATGGCGGGGTGAAAAATTCACTGTTCACTTCTTCAGCGTCCGAAGCGCGATTGAAGCAATATCTTGTGGAAATGAAAGGTGGTTGTGCGATCACCTTGGCGTTGACTGGGGCTGACTTGTCGGAAATAATGGACCATGTGGGTTGGACTCGTCGTCACACTGCTCTGCATTATCTTCAACTGGCGAAGGTGTTCAACCCAATGGGGGCGTCAGCAAAGTTGGCGGCGGCTACGAGTATGGACACCACATCCGACTGGCAAGAAATAAACCAGTTAAAACGCTTTGTCTGTGCATCTGCCACCTACCTCTTAATATAACTGATTAATGGCTGTTTCTAATTATATACATAAAAACGGGTGTATGTATAAGCACGTGTGATATTTTATACCATTATAAGGTTTGAGGAGGTTTTGGGGTAGGGGGTTGTGTTTAGGTATGGGATGTAGAGGTATGTGATGATTGAAATTGGATGTGTGTTGAAGGCGATGTACGTGTTTCATATGTTGGGTGAAAAGGAGGTAGGGATGGAACATGTGTCCACGGCAACTAACATTTTTTCCATACCTAAATCAACTGAGCTAGAATGCGAGTGTTGGGAAATAGAATACTATTCTCAACACTCGTAATTATATGCGAAAGTGAATTAGGGATAAACAATGCTTAATAAGGGATTTTTGAATACATATTGATATGTAAATGAGACATTAAGCACATAAGAAGGCGATTGAACTCGGTTTTAGCTTAGTTACTTCAAGTTAGCAACAGAGTGAGGGTATTGGTGAGACGACTTTGCGTTCACCACCGCAAAAGTTCGTTTTTTGACTCACTTTCGTCCGCTGACTAACATTTTTTGCATACCTAAATCAACTGAGCTAGAATGCGAGTGTTGGGAAATAGAATACTATACGTACTGTTTAATTATTAAAGTCTGCCACATGAAATACAAGATGCATATGATTGCCATGTCAATCCCCTGTTTTAAACATGTGAGACACATGTGGTTCACATATGATTCGCATGTGTGGTCAATCTGTCAAAACTTTTCACATGTGAAGACATGTGAACCACATATGAAGACATGTGAACCACATGTGAACACATGTGAACCACATCAGTTCACATGTTACCCACATATGAAACACATGTGAATTACCTGTTTTTTTTCGTAAGGGTGTGTATGTGTGTGTGTGTGTGTGTGTGTGTGTGTATGTGTATATGTATAGTGCGTGTCAACAAGGTTGTCCCTTCAAATAGTAAAATAGGTATATATATCTCACATGTGACCACATATATGGAATACCATTAACTGGTTTAAGAAAAATTATCTATGCATGCACCTTTATTGTGTTACCCGAGGAATGCAATAGTGTATTTGTTATTTACACGATATTTAAGAATCAGGAAAATGCCAAAACCATATTCAAATGATTTGCAATTGAGATTAGTATGGTTAAAATTGTTTTAAGGAATGTCTAATGTTGATATATCATCAACATTATTTGTTTCGCCTAAGACCGTAAAACGAATTTACAGATTATTCCTGAATACTGGCAATGTCACCTCGCTTAAAGTATTCGGACGTCCGAAGGGGACCACAACGCTGTATGCGCACGAGGAATTGGTCATTTGTGAGATCGTGTTATGACAGCCTACGATACATTTAAAGGAAATCTTAAAGGAAATTTAAAGGAGATTTGTGGAATTCATACAAAATAACCTTTATCCAGCCCTAAACAGATGTGATGGTGCAAACAATCGTTCCGTTGTAGTACTTGGTAAGATACCTTCTAATTATTATAAGTCATCTCTCATTAAATCTATTTTCTGTGCCATGCACTTCCTGCTATGTATGCATGTAACTCGTAAATTTTACTCATAATGTTTTGTTTAGACAATGCTGCTATTCATCACGTAAACAAGGTCGAAAATTTCTTTGTGCGGTCTGGTGTACTTTTGCGGTATCTACCTGCCTATAGTCCAGACCTCAATCCTATCGAGCAGGTATTTGCTTCCACGAAAAGATTTGTTCGTGACAACGAAAATGTCTATCCGTCGACTAGAGAACCAAAGCCAATAATCATGGAATCTTTTGCACAAATTTCTCGCCAGGTATGCCAAAGTTATTTTCAACACTGTGGTTACCTTTAACTCTGCGTGTTTTTAATAACCTATATACTAGTCTTAAATGTAAGTCCTTCTACAGGCTATAATATAGCTAATGTTGGCAAATTGATATTACTATTGCCAATTGATATTACTATTGCCAAGAAATTTGAACCATTCCCATTTCTAATCCATTTGAACTTTAATTTTTTTACATTTATTAAAATTTATCACTTCAACGTTTATCAACATTTTTCACTACAAGTTGCATGATTAAAATGTTTATTATATTACACAAACCAAGGTATGCAGGATACAACAAAATTAAAAGTATTTTAATAATTTATTCTTGTTGGTATTATATTCTTCCTCGGGTAATAGCACCCAATTCTCTGAGATTAAACAGTTCTCTGATCTGTTTCAGCGTCTCCGTCCTTTTTGTGGTCTGATACGTATCAAAATAGAAGTAGATATACCGATGCAGTTTAATTTGAAAGCACATATACTTGACGATATTATTACAGTTTAGGCTGCATACTAGAATTATACTATTCAAGGCTCATACTCACTGATTCAATAGGTTCCGAAGTTTGTTGACAGCATTGGCCATCACTATTTGAATCTGTCGCTGAAGTTGAAGAAACTGCTTGCTTGGGACGTTTTGCAGGGATGCGAAACATCGGTGCATTGGGAACAGTGTCAACAGTAGCAGACCCAAGCCTCTGAAAAATTATATATGTATACGAATGCATATGACTTTAAGACATACATTTAATGCTAACAATTTAATTGGGGGTTTTTTTGTGAAGTTTAACACTCAATATTAATTAGTTTAAAATATTAATTTTACCACCATTTCAGCCCACAAACAAAATTTGTAAGGTTGATGTGCATCCTCCGTCCTTCTAATTGATTCTTCAGCACTCTCAGGCTTGCTACTCATACTGTGTTGTGTTTCTGAGCCATTAAAAGTGAAAGTAATAATTGCCGACAATATCTGTTCATCTGAGTTGTATTAACAGTCTTTTTTTTAAAGAGAGAAGTAAAAACTATACCCACATGGCAAATTTTCTCGACATGTACGTTTCGTTGACTCAAAAATGTCAATCCAGAAAGGGTAGTTCTTCATCGCGTTATCATAGCCTTCTTTCAGCTCGAGAACAGTGTTAATAGAGAACTTTTTATTTCTGTCACCAACATATCCAAATTTAAAACTCGGTAGCGATTGTGATTCTAAGTTGGGAAACGCTTTCAATATTGCTTCCCTAAACTCGTCCACCGCGTCTACGACAGGAAAATTTTGCACCCTTTGCTCTAGAAATTTGCTTTTTTTTATTCTCATCCAGAACCCGTATTTCGACCAAAGGAATAGTCTCGTCAAATTCATCAAACATTTTCAAAACTCTTGATATATAGTGTATGCGGCATAGACACACGGTGTATAAAAAACGAACACAAACTCGGAATTTCCCAAGAAATTTATGCCCACAACACACAAAAGATTTGACTCCTATGAATTTTAAATAGCTTCTAATTGTATTCCAGGGGCAAGTTGTATAAAAATGTGGTTAACTCTTAACTATAGTTAGTAACAGATTTGACCAATCAGAGTAATGTATTTTTGAGTTAACTACGACTTAACTAAAAGGTAATTAAAACTAAATGAGTTGTATTCCACCACCAATTGTGTTCATAAAGCGAAATGAGTAGGTTGTAATTCAACAGTTATGCGTTAGGGGCCGGTTGTATAAAACTCTTAAGTATACATTATATAAGTATTAATCGCCTAAATAAAAAAAAATCACATCTACCACTCAAGTACTAACTTTGCCTGACTTGTTTTAACTGCAGTGATCAGACGAGAACTGGTGCTTTCCAAGTGGTATGGACGTAGACATCTTGTGTGGGAAAACAAGAGCTTTTGACCTCGGAATATTTTTGGGGAAAGTTGAACGAAAATATTCCTTTTGTGCAAATTAAAGAGAACATTGGAATAATTTTTTATGAATAAATCAAAAGGAGCCTACAACACAAAGTATTCTCAAGAGGTCACCCATCCAAGTACTAACTTTGCCTGACTTGTTTTAACTTCAGTGATCAGATGAGAACTGGTGCTTTCCAAGTGGTATGGACGTAGAAATCTTCTTTGTGGGAAAAAGAGCTTTTGATCTATGAATATTTTTGGGGAAAGTTGAGCAAAAATAATCCTTTTGGGCAAATTGATGACAACATTGGAATAATTTTCTATGAATAAATCAAAAGGATCCTACAACACGAAGCATTCCCAAGAGGTCACCCACCCAATTATTAATTTCGCCTGACTTGTTTTAACTTCAGTAATCAAACGAGAACTGGTGCTTTCCAAGTGGTATGGACATAGATATCTTGTGTGTGAAAACAAGAGCTTTTCATCTAAAAATATTTTTGGGGAAAGTTAAACAAAAATATTCCTTTTGGGCAAATGAGAAAATTGGAAAATTTTCTAGGAATAAATCAAAAAGAGCATATGACACAAAGTATTCCCAAGAGGTCACCCATCCAAGTGCTAAGTTCGCCTGACTTGTTTTAACTTCGGTGATCAGACGAGAACCGGTGCTTTCCAAGTGCTATGGACGAAGTAATCTTCATTGTGAAAAAAAGAGCTTTTGATCTATGAATATTTTTGGGGAAAGTTGAACGAAAATATTCCTTTTGGGCAAATTAATGAGAATATTTAATAATTTTCTATGAATAATTCAAAAGGAGTCTAGAAAACGAAGTATTCCGAAGAGGTCACCTCCCAAGTACTAACTTTGCCTGACTTGTTTTAACTTCGATGATCAGACGAGAAACAGTGCTTTCCAAGTGGTATGGACAAAGACATCTTGTGTGCGAAAACAAGAGCTTTTCATATATGAATATTTTTGGAGAAAGTTAACAAAAATATTCCTTTTGGGCAAATTGATGAGAAACTTGGAATAATTTTCTATGATTACATCAAAAGGAGCCTATGACAGGAAGTATTCCCAAGAGGTCACCCATCCAAGTACTAAATTTGCCTGACTTGTTTTAACTTTGGTGATCAGACAGGAACCAATGCTTTTCAAGTGGTATGGACATACACATTTTGTGTGTGAAAACAAGAGCTTTTGATCTATGAATATTTTTGGGGAAAGTTAAACAAAAGTAATCCTTTTGGGCAAATTGATGAACACATTGGAAAAGTTTTCTATGAATAAATCAAAAGGAGCCTACAACACAAAGTATTTCCAAGAGGTCACCCAACCAAGTACTAACTTCACCTGACTTGTTTTAACTTCGTTGATCAGACTAGAACCTGCTCTTTCTAAGGCCCCCTCTACACGAGCCCAGGCTGGCTGCCAACCCGGGTCAACCGGTCTGCAAATAAATTACTAGTTGGGTTTACACAATAGCCGGGTTTGGACTTCACACCTCGCCAACCCGGGTAACGCTTCTTGAGACCCGGGTTGGCGGGTGTAGAGGTGTGAAAATTGTGCTGAATTCCTCATGTAAACACAAGTTGGCTTGACCAGGACTTGTGTAAAATGCAGCTGGACTTTGGAAGCAAATATCCTGTCACACACGCATATCATATTGCATTTAGCGTGCGTAACTTCTCTCCGCTAGTATGGCAAGCAAAAGTAAAACCGCTCGAACAGACAAAAATGTTGCAAAAAAAACGCAACAGCCTCAGTTTCAGTGGTCGCCCAAAATGGTTGAACATTTGATATTGTGTTCGAAACAATATGTCGGAGATGGACTAGAAAAACGTCGACTTTAACTCAAATGTTGCAGCCATGTATTCCAGACTGCGAGAAGACATGGCGTTAGCTTTTGACGCAGAATATTTTGGGCCATGTGATGTTCCCATTCAACATAGCGACATAGAGCTAACAATGGAAGAAGAAACTGCGTTTCTGGTGGAAGCCACACGAACGCCAACGAAACACACACGAAACGAAAGCCAAATCCCTAATATCCAAGGGATATAACCGAATAAAAGAAAAAATTTGACAAATCCCAAAGGCGTACAATAACGTTGTTACCAATGGCACGAGATCTGGTCAGGAAGAGTTGTTCAGGAATATTATGATGAATTGGTCCAGATTTTAGAGTACTAGCACATGCACCACACCCAACAGGGCCAGCACTAGTAGCACATCACACTCCACTGCATCCAACACACCACCACCTGAGGCAGATCTTGATACATTTCACTTGGGTGACTTGGGTGGGTGACCTCTTGGGAATTCTTCGTGTCGTAGGCTCCTTTTGATTTATTCATAGAAAATTATTCCAAGGTTCTCATCAATTTGCCCAAAAGGAATTTTTTTGCTCAATTTTCACCAAAAATATTCATAGATCAAAAGCCCTTGTTTTCTGAAACAAGACGTCTACGTCCATACCACTTGGAAAGCACTGGTTCTTGTCTGATCACCAAAGTTAAAACAAGTCAGCCGAATTTAGTACTCGCGTTGAAGAACATTCTCGCCAACCCGGGTCAGCAATTCCCAACCCGGGCTGGCTAGGGAAATATTTCTGAGTGATAGCCTGGAGCAGAGTGTAAATTGGCGCGAAACTGCGAAGTAAAATGGCGGACAATAAGCATAAACGAAGAAAAGTTATTGTTTCTGCCTGTGCAGTTTTGCTTCTGCTTTTAGCAGCCATACAAATGCACGGTGTGATGCTGTTGTTCATTATCCAACAACAGCAGATTGCGGCTGCTCAAAATATGGTAATGTTAGATACAATGAAGAGTATTCGAATGTTGAAAATGTTGAAAAGAAGAATTATTCGAAGAAGGCGACGTGGTTGGATAAATCCTGGCCGAACAGATATTTGGTGCGAAAACTTGTGGAGTGGCAAGTTACTAGAAAACGAATGGCACCTAAATTTGCGAATGAATAGGGAAACGTTTTTGGAGCTAGTGGAAATGATGCGGCCAAACTTTGAAATGAAGACTTGTAATTTTCGTGGAGATGCATTGAGTGTGGAGAAAAAGGTTGCAATGACCTTGTACTATTTAAAAGATCAAGGAATGTACCGGGTGACTTGCAACAACTTTGGTGTGTTGCTGCCTTGCTTGTCTAAAACTGTTAAAGCAGTTTGCTCATGCATCAGTGAAGTGGTTGGCCCTCAATACTTAAAGTTGCCCAAAACTTTGAATGAAATGAACCAACTTATTGCACATTTTGAATCACGATTTGGTTTTCCCCAGACATTTGGTTGTCTGGATGGTACGCATATTCCCATTCGACAACCAACTGAAAACAGTCAGGCCTATTTCTGTTATAAAATGAAACACAGTCTGAATGTTCAAGCACTTTGTAACTACAGAGGCATATTTCTTGATGTTGAAATCAAGTGGCCTGGAAGTGTTCACGATGCCCGAGTATATGCAAACTCCAATGTTCACAGGAAAAATCCTCCCAATGGTATACCGATCTGTTCTTCCAGGGACAGATAGAATTCCACCATTAGTTCTTGGAGACCCTGCCTACCCCCTCTTACCCAATGTGATGAAAGAATATGTTGAGGATGCCTATAATGAGAAAGCTATTTTCAACCAAGTGTTGCGAAGTGGCTGGAATCAAATTGAGTGTGCTTTTGGCAGATCGAAGGCAAGATGGCAAATTTTAAATCACCCTATAAATATCAAATTGGAAGATGTTCCAACACTTGTACATGCTTGTTTTGTATTACATAATTTTTGTGAACTTAAGGCGTGCCCAATCATCGGAGATGTGGAACATCAAATGCAAATGAACATTGTTGATAGCTGTTGTGCACACCCCTCTAGGCCTGATCGGTCATATTCCTACTCCTGCAACAGGCACTGCATTTCGTGAAATCATAACACAGTATTTAAAAGAATATTTATCTTAGAGCCTAATATCAGGTACATGAGTATTGAGTATTCTCTACACGTAGCATTGCTAGCCATGACAACTTATAACGTGATTGCCTGAAAAATTGAAATTGTCATATTTTTAAAAGGTTTTTTTAGAATTGTTGGTTTAACTTGTTTTTATGGCTAGTCTGGTATAGATCATCTACCATACTATACTTGTCTGGGAAATAGCACATGTAACTTTGTTGTAGGCACAATCAAATTATTGCACTTCCATACCTTGCACATGCACAAAAAATCTTTCATACACTGTCTGGTAAAATATTCAAATTTGAATCGTAGAATTAGTAACTTGTATTTTAATAAATATTTAAATTCATTCTTAATGTACCTAATTATTTCAAATTTCCCCTTGTGCCCTCAGTGACTCCCCTCAATGTGATTTAATGAGCTAAACTTCCCAAGATTATGCAAACTAATAACATGTGAAGTAATAAAATATGTGCAAATGAAATAGAATAGAATTGGCTAGCGATATTAGCAGTTAAAAATGTTTCATATGTGTCCATCTATAGTTGTTCATATGTCTTTCCATTTGAACTTGGCAAGTTGTTTTGTCCATACTGAAACCTTTGCTGCATGAAGTTTGCTTCATCATTACTGTCGGCTGGCATTCTAGATGTGGTTCGCATGACTAATTTGCTGTTGTCCCAGATAAGGCTGCTGCGGCACATGCATTTCCTGTTGATTAGGGAAATTGGGGGGATAAAATTCTTGTGATCCTGGTTGATTGATGGGCGGGTGAGGGTTATTGGGCCTATTTTACAAATGTATGGGCCATTTGCATAACATTTGGGTTCAGAGCCATTGCCAATAGACCACGGCCATCACTAACATTTTTCCCAAGTGAATTAAGTGATGCTGACATAGATTTTGCCATTTCCATCAGGGCAATTTGACTTTCTCGCATGTTTGTCATATGCTGCTTCTTTAAGGCAATATCTTCTTTTGTTGCACAGAGAAGAACTTCATCTCTTTTTGCAGCAGAAAGTGGTTTCTCAAGATGTTTTCGTTTATTGTCCACTATCCTTGCTGTTGATGACAGTGGCCTTTTTCTTGGCTCAGGTGCTTGTTCTAAATAAATATGGCATGGGGTTAACAGGAGCAAATCCTAATAAGCTAGAAAGTGAACTTATCAAGCGAAAATTTTAGCTCAAGAGCTTCCCCATTGACAAGTTAAATATCTGGCATTTGTTAAAAAACAAGTAAGGTGCACTGGGGCGCATTG